AGTTATTATCTCTTTAATACATTTTATGGTGGTCATAAATATTGAACTGGTTTAATTAGATCCTAACCTGCCGATATCAATAGAGTTCTGGACGTTTCATCTAAGAAATGCAACCTTTAACCCCCATTGCCCAGTTAATTAGAAACATCTTCGATATCCTCTTTCACTCTCAGTGGAGTTGCCCCGTGTTCTAATTATAAAATAATGTATGTTTAATATTAATTGTATGCTTTAAATTATAAAATGTCCTTAAAATTCATTAATCTTAATATGAAATTATTTTCTTAATATTTAAAATTCAGTGAATTCTTCAACATTCTTTTTTCTTGTTTTTTTTTGCAGTTTTTCTTTCTTTTTTGAGGGGTAAGAAATATAAAATAAACATTTATTAATTTAAAAAAGGTGTAAATAATAATTTTTTTAATATATTGTGTTAATAAATTAAAATGTTTTTGTGTGTGTGTGGTTTATGATGTATATTAAAAGATGAACTTCTACATAACGAATTTTCCATGTAACGAACTTTTTTCCGGGATTTAGCGACTTCGTTATATAGAGGTCCGACTGTATTTGTAGAAAAATATGTTGGTGAAATTTTAAATATCATGTTTGAAATTTTATGAATGAAATTAATTTTTAATTTTGTAAAGTGAATGAGTGTTTTAAAAAGTCACACTATAAAGGTACACTAGAAATATTGGAGACGGACCTCATAATTTTGAACTATGGTCAAGGAGGACGACACCTGATCCGGCATCCCCTCTCCTAATTTCCACACCACACCAATGGGAGAACGTTTGAGCCTCGACAGGTTTAACGTGAATCGACCCCTTTACATGGCAGATGTTCAGTGGCCCGAGGCTCAAACTTATAGCATGAGTCCGGGGAAGTTGCGCACATAAATATTTTTCAAGGAAAAGGGTCGAAAGTCCTCTATTCTCGTATCATAACTCAATACGACGCCCAACGCCTATTCTTTTGATGGTATCGATTTGGGAGGGGGGTGGTAAAAATGAAGCATTAATTAATAATATAAGTGGTTTAAAACAAATAAATTAAACTATAAGTACTATATACATCGGATTATCCTTGTTTCCTCAGTGGCACGACAGCCCATTGTGGGCCTTGGCCTTCTCAAGAAGCCTTTTCCAGGCCAGCCTTCTTTCTGCTAGTGCAGTGCTTCTCAAACTTTCAATACTGGCGCCCCACTTTTCGATCACAATTTTTATCACGCCCCCCCCTTATACAATAATAATGTACTGAATACAATAATAATGCACTTTGACGCTAAAGCTACAATAGGCGATCTTAATTATAAACCATACAAATTAGTAACATAAGTATTAAATTTTGTATACTACTTTTAAGTAAAAAATAAATAAATACATAAAATAATAGGATAATTACTATGTTATTTTTCCTTTCTCTAATTTTTAAATTGAACATATTGCAAAATGCGGTGACTGCTTAGAAGGCAAAATATAGATATCTGCTAAATATAGAAAAATAACTCAGAGGGTCAATTTCTAATCCTAAGCATTCCTTATAAAAACTTTGCTTTGCAAGACAAGCCCATGGAAGTCGTTAATACTTTTTTAACTTGTTCTTAATTTAGTATTAATTAATTAGTTATAAAATACTCTGTGCAGCACTGATACATTAAAAGTATACCGGCTGAAATGCCCGCTCTTTGCCCGAGTTCATTTATAAGAAAATAAAACATTATTGATATAATAGCTGAATTGTAAGGAGAGCAAAGCCAAGTGCTCGACAATGTTTACAAAAATGTAAAATGATTTTTTTAAATGGTTGCTCAAATTATAATTAGTTTTAAGCGAATTGTAATTTTAAACCTCACAGAATTACATTTATAATTGATGTTAAATAATGAACAATAACATAAAATTCCGATGAAGAATAATTGTATTACTTTTAATATTTAAAGCGAAAGGACTTCAACATGTTTTAACACGGGAGCAGGCGCGCACTCGATACGGTCGAGCGGGGTTATTGAGTCACACCAATCCTTTTTTTTTATAATTATTTTATTGTACACGATACGAATCGTGATTTCAGTGAATGATTTATTTAAGAGAAAGTTTACTTACCTACTTTCAAGGACTTTTCAGTTTTTCTTTGGTAACAAATAAACAGTTTTGACAGAATTAACGATTTCGTAATCTGTGTGTCCCTTGTGACCACTTTCGGGTAAAAAGTGTATTCATTATGATAATATGTATGTTACTGCTAAAAAAGTTGTGTAAAACGTTTTTCGTTATGCTTTATATGTTTTAGAATACTCATAAAAATAAATATTGGCCAAGTAATCCTTCAAAGTGTGCTCTCCGTGGTTTTCCAAATATCATAAAACTCTTTTGAATGGAAAAGATCGCAATAGAGAAATACATTACTTACAACTTCCCTAAATGAGAAACAAACACATAAGAGAGGGGTTATAACTAACTGCACCAATAACTTAGAAGGTCAAACAGATTTCAGCTATAATGTGTAGAATTTCAAAAATAATGACAGTGATGAATTCTTTATGTTCCTAAATTTTTTCGATTCTGGGTCTGGGATCTGTTTTTTTTTTCTGAAAGAGTAGCATGTTAGGTTTAAAAAGAAAGCGTAGTAAAAAAAATCTCTCATCATGGGATTACAACAAATCAAATAAAAGTTTTTTTTATTTGGTTATAGGATCAAAGATAGCTAATTAGGTATTGAAGAAGTTTTTATTTTTGATGACTAAATATCGCACGCGCGCGCCTATAAATTATATCAGACTAAAAGTGCATTTTTTATTATGTCTGAAAGTATTTTGTTTGAATTCATTCCAGTAAATTAATTATTTTTAAATCTTTTATTTTCGATATGCTCGCCCCCCCGGGGGGCGAGCCCCACAGTTTGAGAAACACTGTGCTAGTGTGTTATCCAATTCTTAGTTCTCAAAACTAGATCTTTTTCTATGCCATCAATCCATCTTAAATTTGGCCTGCCTTTTCTCTGTATGCCAATTGTTTGGGCATTGCAAACTTTTTTAGTGGTACAGTCTTCGTCCATTCTGACATTGTGACCTATCGATTTAATTCGTTGTATTTTGTTTAAGTTAACAATGTCAGATTCCTTATATGATTGATAGAGTTCTAAATTTGATCTCTTTCGCCATGTTCCACTTTCCTAAATTCCTCCAAAAATGTATCTTAAAATCTCCTTTCCTTATGTGCACCACTGGTCTGCCACTGATAATTTGTAGAAATGTTTCGATTAAAAATTTTTATATTTAAAATACTAGTGAAGAATAAAGTTCATAAACATTTCTGCATGGATTTACTTTCAGAACACACATATGTTTCACCATCATTACAATTTATATGTGCTGTTAAGAATTACCCTTAAAAAAATCGTTTTTATAACCCAATTTCAATTTTATTAATTTCATTAAAAATTAAATTTGTAATAAAAATTAAGAACTATTTTATTGTAACGTAATTTACGTGCATTGAATTTGCAATTTCCGTTTGAATGAACAATTAATATAATGGTTTGTCTTCTAATAATTCTCTTTCAATAAAAAAATTATTTTATGACGTTACGAAATAAATAAATTTTTTTTTTTTTGTATATTCTTAATTTTAATGATCAATCAAAATAAAAAAAATCTCCTTACCTTTATTTAATACAGGTAACAAAAATAATCTGAATATGCATCTAAACAAAATGTTTAAACATTTCTTAGATCTACGGAATGAACAATTTTAAATGATTTTCAGGTTTATATGAAGGTGATCTTCGAAATTAAAGTTTTAAGTATCGGACCGTGACATGCCTTGTTAGGAGTTCGGGCCCAGTACCACTAAAGACCCACCGTGTAGGGCAGCGATGCACGTTAAATCTGTCGAGAGCTGAAACGTCCTCCCGTTGGTGTGGTGTGTAAGTTAGGAGAGGGGCTGCCAGCTCAGGCGTCGTCCACGTCACTTGACCATGGTTCAAAATTACGTGGTCCGTCGCCAAAAGCCCTCGTGTAGCTCATCAGTGCGACGTTAATATCCAATCAATCGATCGAAATTAAAGTTTACAAAAGTCGTCGTTAAAACGTTTTTCGAAAAACATTTCTATAGAAAGAAATTTAATACACTTTTTAAAAAACTGCTAATTTTTTTATTTCTTTTTCGAAACGTGTTAAAGTATTCTTACTTCTTGAAGTACCATGCATAATAAATGTAACGAAAAGTTTGTATTTTAAGCTTATTTATATTAATTTTACTTTACATTAACCGTTGAATTTTACATTTTTCTTCCATTAGGTGATTTCATCTTACATAAGGAACTTAACTAAAACACATAAGAAACAACTTCATCAAGAAATGTTTATTTGTTGATGCCCTGAGTTGTGTAATTTGTCACATTTGTTTAATATGCTGCTAATATATTCAAAGGAATTAATTTTACTGTAAATAATCTTGATAAAAAGTATTACAGGTAAAGACGTGCACAGACATTTTTATGGGAGGGTTCACATTTAAAAAAACAAGTTGGAGTTATTGATCTTTATACTATAAAAATCGATATCTTCTGGTGTTTAGGAGGCGACCTTGTGTACGTTTACTGATTACAGGGCAGAAAAATATTTTTAAAAAATTCTTCAAAATTATTCAGAAATAAAATTAATACTTCCCTTAAAAGTTTTCAAAATGAATAAAGTAACAAGTAATATAAAAAAAAATTGTAAGTCAATTCCTACTTAGGTCAACAAAGAAAATTTTTATATATTTTAATTACTTTTTATTACATAGTTACAATTATTATAAATATGTATATACATATGACAGAATCACAATATTAAGTGACAAAATAGAAAGCAATTTTTCTTGCCATTTTCCATTCTATATATGGTGTTAGACCACTTTAGTTTGTGTTTGGAACTATATATATTTATTTATTAAATTTTTAATTATTCTAATAAAGTAATATAATAAAAAAGAGATCGCATTCTAAGAAAGAACATCCAGTTGGGATTCGAACCCACGACCTTTGGATTAGAAATCCAACGCGCCCTGCATTGCGCTAGAGATATTTTCTTTCTATATATGCTATTGGATTATTATTTTTAAGTTCAACTGATGAATTAATATTTGAAAAAATGTGTTAACATCAAGCGTCTTCCACTTCAAGTTTTAAAAAATGTATTTGAACTTGAATGGATGAATGGAAAGTATTTTATTAACGATTAAAAATTTGAACAAGATATATATATATATATATATATATATATATATATATATATATATATATATATATATATATATATATATATATATAAATGTAGGGAGAGAGTGAACTAATAGAGTAGGAATTGAAAATTAATAAGAAATCGCTTTTAAAACGTCAATTAATTTATTTTGTACAATAAAAATTCCTTGGGATTTTGGCATTTTATTATTGTAGTCATTTCTGGTAGGAATTATTTTGTCGTTAGGCTTTATATATTTGTCGTGCCTTTTTACAAGTGAAACATAACAAGAATTATAAACGCTTGCTGGATTGTATCACTAACCAAACGCTGCAGAAAACCGCAGCGAGTATATTTCTCCCAAACAAGTATTTCGCAATAACAACGATGACCGTTGGAGAAGCCCAGTTTACTCGCAACCGTCGCTACAAGGGCAAGGACGAAACCGGATGAATCAGACGATAAACGATCGACGTCTCTTCCTAATACCGATTCCCTTTGTGTACGAGTTTTTTGTTTGTTTTTTTTTTTTCTGCTCAACTTCGCGTCATTTTTTTTAATTTAATTTTTTTATTCCATAAGTGGGTGTTCGACGGTTGAAGAAAACGTTGAAGGAAGGAGGGGCTAGGAGAAATGACCTGCCAGCCGTTGGGAACAGCGCCTACACTAATTTTTGTTCCTGTTTCACTTCTAACGTTCTTTGAGAAAAATTCTTGCAACGTGCGACGAATGATTTAAAAATGATTCTTGAACTCGTTTAGTCGGGAATTAGAAAATAAAAGAAAAAATATTGTTTGTTGAAAATTAGGCAAATAATCTCCCCCCCCCCCCGCTGAGAACACAGTTAATTCAGAACGTAATTAAAAAGGACACCATCTGTGAGCATGAAATATAAAAATTCGAAATTAATATATTCTATAAATGAATGGCGACATCTATCTGAATGGCGCATTTTAGCTTATTAATCTTAACTGTAGTAAGTTTTTAAGCTCTTTTAATTGTTGTTATAATTGTAAGACAACAGAACAAAAAACGCATTTGGATTATTGACAATATTTTTAGAATTATTTATTCTAGTAATAGAACATCAAAACAAATGAATAATTTATAACAGTATGGCGTTATTGAGTCACAGGTTAGAAACCTTGTTGAAGTGCGGACCCACCATGAAGAGGGGCTGATCCACGCTACATCTTTCAAGGCTGAAGGTCCACCTGCTGGCGTGGTGTGGAAGTTTGAAAAAGGGGTCACCAGCTCTGTTCTCGTTATTTGACTCTAGTTTAAAATTATGAATTCAGTTGCTAATATTGCTCGTGTTACTTCAGAGTGCGACATAAATTAAAATCCAATCAAATCGCTGTTTATAACAGCAATAAATTATATTTTCTTAACCCGTTAAGTGCCGCGAGCGTGTATACACGTCTTGCTGAGCTGGTGCCAATAGTGTCCTGGACGTGTATACTCGTCCTTCCAAAGGAAGACTTTTTGTATTGTGCTGCTATGTTTAAAACTAGTCCCATGGCTATGAAATACTATAACATGACATTGACAGTGCTTCTAAAGAATTTACTTATTTTGGAGAACAGGCGGGGAAGGAATTTGAAGGGTATAATTCCAGGAAGGGGGAAATCCATAGCTAAATTGCTTTTCTTGTTTTTTCGTTTGAGTGTACTCTTTTCTATTCTTCATTTACTGTCATTTTTGCTTTAGAATTTTTTTTACGAATGCACTGAATGTGATACTGGTTTATGTGTTCAACCTGCAGTAGTTGGTTCGTCGCTGGCCTTCTGTACCCAAGGTTGAGGGTTCGACCCCGGCCCAAGTCGGTGGATTTTCCTGATGCAGAAAATCGACAGTGGCCATGTCGTATGATTACACGGCATGAAAAAGTTCCCTTGAGTTTCCATTTGGCTTGGATACTCTCGGCAAAGTTAAATTCCTCAGTCCAAATTTCGCATCGACAGAGCTCAGGTGCCTTCCTTTGGGGAAGAAACTGAGCATCAAAATTACTTGCGGCAAGTAGTATCGCCTATATGGTGTCGCACTAAAAAGTGATGCCGGCTCCTGGAGAATGAACTAGGTCTGCAAAGGTAAAAATACCAGTCCGTGGCCTCATTGCCTAAAAGAAAGGATTTATTACAAAATAGGTGATTTAAAATTAATTTTTTAGAATATTGTAACTCTGGGGATTAATTTTTTTAATTTTAATTTTATTATTTTATCCTTTTCTTTTCTTTCTTTTTTAAAGTGAAAGTAAACAATGTTTAAGTGGTAAAACACGCCTTTTCTTTTCCTCTAATAAATCGCGTAACAATGCGCGCTTGTGGGAAAAATGGTGGTGTGAATGAGTGAATATTAACGTCGTACTGTTCAGCTACACGAGGGGTTTGGGCGACGGACATCGTAATTTTGAACCATTGTCAAGTGACGAGGACGACACCTGAGCTGGCACTCCCCCCTCTCTCCTAGAAAAAAGGTGGCACGGGGGTTAATTTCGTAAATTTTCTCTGCAATTAAGGGGTTAATAATAAATAATTATAGTTTACTACCCACATTCTCAAATATTCCTCCAAATAATTGTTTACAGCTTTGATCATAACAAAGGAAGAAAAATAAACAAAATGAAACTATTCATATAATTCGAAACTGCATCCACAAGGAAACAGTAAGACACGAATCTTATACATAACTCATTTCTTTCACATTTTCAAATCGTTAAAAGATATTTTCGTATGTATTTATATTTCATCATTTCCAAAAACTCGGTGATATTTTTCGTATAAGAGGCAAACGGAACTGTATACATTCGGCACACGAAATTTGGAATATATATATAAAATAATTCATATTAATCTTATGTTCACTTAAGGTATCCGACTACCCTAAAATCATGATTTTTTTTAAATTGAAATTTTTCTTATGATATTATTTTATAGGCCAACTTATTAGCTTTATAAAAATACCAAGCTTTTTATTTTCCGTTCACTAAAACATTAACTACAAGTTTGTTAGTAAAAGCAGATGCCATAACTTTACATAAGATGTTAAACTTTGAAATGCATTTTACTCAAAATGTATTTTTCTTTTTTCTAAAAGTTCAAACGGGGCAGCGATTGCTCAAAAAGTTTTGAAAATAATTTGCTGAAATTTTGTGTGTTTGTTTTCTATAACAGTAGAAGTGTTTTAACCTTAGATTTATCAATCACTGTTTTACAAAATTTACAGTTCTTTATTTGAATATAATCACTGTTTTTTTAAGCAATTTCATATAATAGCTAAGATAAAGTTCTCTAGTTTTTGTAAAAATTAAAATATCTCTTATCCTGAAGGTCATTTCGAAAAGGAATAGCAAAGTAATACATCAATATTGAAAAATTGAGAATTTGTGCATTTACTATTTTGTGTGTGTGTGAATAGAGCGGGGGGGAGGCGTTTATGTAACTTTTTCAATTTTTACCTATTTTTCCCATTTTATAGTAGTAATAATTTATTTGTCTCTTCTTAATTTTAGTCTTTTTTTCTTAAAATGTACTAAATAAATCTAGAAAATCCCCTTATCACCATCTTATTTTTAAAAAAAAAACGTTGCCGCAAGTAGTCGAATACCTTAAGCATCTCGGACTACACATATTGTTTACTCCATTTTATTTGTGATCATGTCACGTAAATATCTTTTTCTGGAGAGAATAAAAATAAAATCAATTGTGCATTTATTTTGTTCACGTACCTCTCAATCAAGTTTCACTAACTGTCCGACGCGTGTTTAGAAATTTTTATTGGTAAACAGGATTTTTCCCCCTAAATGTACTATAGATCTTTATATCATTCTGCACAGAACTTTTGTGAAAAAGCTTGGAAAAGCATTCAAAGAAAATGAAATTGAAAAGGTTTATAATGTCTTGAAGCAAGTGTATTTCTCGAAAAAATAGAGTGGAGTATCGAATAAATTTTTAGATTATAATTTCAAAATTGAATATCGCCTGAATTATAAAATGGAATTGTATGAAATATTGTGTGTGTGTGCATTTAAGAGTTTTATGGTATATAAGGAATCAAAAAATGTGTTAAAATTTGATATATTATAGTTTACTTTTTCATAATTGTTTTAATACCATATTTTTTCACAAAAATATTACTTTTTCCATTGTTTCTAGTATATTTAGAATTTAAAAAAAAATTGCTTTCAATCTGGCTCAAAAATCTTTAAAAAAGAATTTTTTTGAAGTAAAGAATATGGAATGAATCTTTGAAACACATCAATGAATGAATCTTTCGAATATCGTCGGTCTAATTATCAGACTGCGTAACTCCATCTGGGATGCTAATTTGATACAGTAGGGCTAGGCGTCAAGTTGCTGTTTATGTTCGCCAAGATAGGCGATAATAAAGGGTGTTTTTTTAGAGGTATAGAACTTTAAATTGCAATAAAACAACGATGTATTATTCGATTGGCATGAATTTTTTTTATTCGAAAGATAATCTTGTGACATTACATTTTAAATATGATTTCTGGCATAGGACTGCCACGGCTGGCTCAGATGTAGTCCAATCTGGACGTCCAATTTTCGATGACTTTTTTCAACATTTGTGGCCGTATATCGGCAATAACACGGCGAATGTTGTCTTCCAAATGGTCAAACGTTTGTGGCTTATCCGCATAGACCAATGACTTTACATAGCCCCACAAAAAATAGTCTAGCGGTGTTAAATCACAAGATCTTGGAGGCCAATTCACAGGTCCAAAACGTGAAATTAGGCGGTCACCAAACGTGTCTTTCAATAAATCGATTGTGGCACGAGCTGTATGACATGTTGTGCCGTCTTGTTCGAACCACAGCTCCTGG